CCTGCTGACTGGCAGAGTAAAAAGCTTTGACCAAGATGATCTGCCTTCACTGGTCTTCCACTTGTTGCAGAGGTTGGACCCTTTGCTGTTTGGGAGAGAAGCGGCTTCCCTCTCGGCCATGTCAAGCATCATGGGGAGACACTGAAGGACTGCAAAGTTACCAACTGAAATAAAAGCCTTTGAGCTTTATCTTCCGAACAATCCTGGCAGCTTAGTGAAGGGGTTGCTTTTTAGATGGCACTGGAGCAAGTCCTAAGCTACTGCCTCCATATCCTTGTCAGTTTGGACCTACCTGATGAGAAACACACCTCAGTGCATTCCTTCAAGGGACTTCTGTTCTGCGTCCTCCCTCCTTCCTTCCCTAAGTCCTTATCAACAGCTTTTCCTACATAGTGCCTTTGAAACAGGGACCCACTGAAGCCATCCTCATCCCACTTGGACTTGATGGTTTGGACTGCATGAAGTTTCTGTGAGCTCTGTTGTATCAGAAACCAACACATTAGGGGTTAAAATTTTCTAAGTGCTTGCATTGTTTTCTAATGGCCTTGTCTGGCAGCAGTCTGGGGAGGAACCTGACCCTTCCAACAGCATGCAGGAGTCAGGTTATGTAACTCTTTTGAGTTCCTGGATTTATGTAGGTGCCATTTTCCTGGTAAGTGAAAGGGTTGACCCAGAATTTGTCTTCTAGTGATGTAGAAAATGTTAGATGATGCTGTGGACTCTGAATTTCTATGCAACGTTCAGTTTCTTCCCAAAAGCTCATTGTCTTGGGTTAAAATGCCTTGTAACCCCAGTTTCAGCTGTATGATGAAGTAGGCCATTGTGGTATGCCATGTCAGGAAGAGTGCAGAAAGCAACAAAAAATTTGAATGTGTTGGTGGATATAGGTGAAAAGTACAGAATAAACTGACTATTTTATTTCTGGTCTAAAATCCTACTAGGGGAGACTTAAAGATTTCAGCAGCTAAAAGAAAAAGAGGAAGAAAGAATAGTTACTTCCCTTAGCATTTTGTCCTCTTGGATGGCCTTCCTGTCTCCAAGAGGTTGACACCTGAAGCAGTTCACACTGTGGAAGTCAAGCCCTTCCCCAGGAAATAATGTAAGAGGTTCCCAACAGTGTTTGTATCCACTGATGCCCTCTGCAAGCCAAGTTTAATTCCACGTGCTAATGCTGGATAGCATTTATCACAGGTGCTGGGATTAAGGGGTTTACAATGCATACCAGCTCTGAACTGAGCTACCCCTCCACACTCTCCCAGCACTTGTTTTTCAGTTCAGATCAGATGATGATTGACTCTCAGTATGTCCAAGCATGGTGGTGTCATCACCTTTGAACTCCAACTGTCAGTGAATATATAAAAGTTCTGGCACTTTTTCAAGACTGTAAAATACATCACTGTCTTTTTCCAGTTATATTGTCATACATTAAGTGAAGCTACCATTCATAATGACCCTAAGAAATAACAGGCAAGGGTTACTGATACTGAGTTTTAAAATGATGGAAATTAGCCAACACAATATTGATCTAAATGCAATGATTGAAGAAGGTATTTTTGCAAGATGTACTTTTAGATGTTTTATCTTCTTGATACAGCTGGAAGAACTCAAGTTATTCTAGAAATAGCTTTTATGTCTATTTCTCCTAGTGACTCATATTTTTGGCTGAGAAGTCTGGCTGCTCTGGGTCCAGTTCAGCCATGGCGTGAATAATGCAAGCCTTGGCATCGATCCCTGACACACAGGACTGGCTCTGTTTGTTGCGATGGAAGCGGCCCAAGGGCTACAGACGTTCTCCTGCCTTTGAAAGGCAGCCACAGAGCTGGCCGAAACAGCATTCACACTCTTACTGCAGCTGCGAGCAGCCCTCTTCAGTGGGCTCCAGGTCTGCATGCAGGTCTGTA